GTTTACCAGCACACGGCTCTTCTTCCCACGGCACTTTCTGATATGTAACAATCGAGTGTGTGTTTCCCCAGCTGCAGCTTCTTAATGGTTAACCCTGGTCTAATTAGTTTTCTCCTAGCGGCTTATCGATCCTCTGATGTGTGTGTGTTGATCACTTTTGGTTTGAGGGGTTGTGGTGAGGAAGGGCGTAGGCTTTAGGTGTTGGTCATCACGAGCGAGAGGGTACTCGCCCACCTGAAAGCCAACATCCACGAGGGGCCAGCATCTGGAGAGCTGCTATGATACTCTGCCCGTCACCCTGGCCCAGAGCTGACACAGACCTGTGCCAAGGCAAGCCGTGGCTTTGACTACCCTGCTCATCCCCCATTTTCAGGAGTTTAAACTGTATTGGAACCTAAGCTCAAGTCTGTAACTTCCTGACCCATATGCCTTTTGTTTCCCCGTCTCCTCTCCCCTTTTCCGTTTTCGGGTTTGTTTCTGTGAGAGTGAGGAAACAGCAGCCCTGGAGTCTAGAGTTTGGCTTTCCACCAAGCACCTTATCTCGCCACCTTAGCCTTAAGAATGAGTATGAAAAAAAAAAATCCACCTCCACCTCTGTCCAGGGTAGAAGGTCTGTGAAGAGGACACTGGGGCAAGGAAGGGAGTAGATCTCACGCTGTCTGGTAGCTCTGAGGCCCTGTGCCCCAGGGACCCCAGGGAGAGTAGGAGCAGAGGGCATCTGAAGGGTGCAGCTGTTCCATGAGGGGCACTGTCCCAGGTTGCCACGGGACCTGCAAGGGAGCCACAGATGGGCCACACTGAGCTCCCTCACACAGAGGCAGATTGCTGCCTGCAAGACTGACTGACTTCAAGGAATCAGAAATTGCCCAGAACAAGTGTGTGTTTTCCGTGACCTTTTCCGTCCTTGAAGTCTTTTTCAGATCCCTGCAGGGGGTAGTGAAGAGGGATATACTTTGTGGACGTTAGCTTTCCTATTAGAAACAGAAGGGAACCCAGCAATTTCCTGTTATGTGAATGGCCTGTAAAATAGGGTTGAGAGCTGCTGTCTTGTGCCTGACAGGGCCCGGCAGGAACAGGACAGCGGACCGACATACCTTCCAGGTCCCCAGTGCCTGCTGCATCAGGGCTTCAGCCACCCCAAGTCTCTCAGCCCAGCATAACACTAGCCTTCCACAAGCCCCTTCCCTCCCCCGCGCCCCCCCCCCCGCCCCCCCCCCGGGCGCTGGGCTCACCTACGGGTGCTCCACGCCGCCCTCTGGCTCTGAAGGATTCAACATTGTTGTCTTCCAAATTGGGGGGGTGGGGGGAGAAGATTCCTTCCTCTTGAGCAATAAAAAATGATGGCCATTCATGTGCAGCTCTTTATCACCCTGGGCCACTCCCCACCTTCTCTCCAGGTGGCCCACGATGGCCTCTATTCCTCTGCTTGTTTTTGTCCACCTCGGGACTACTCCTGCGATGGAGTCTGGGCCGGCTGCTCTAGCCCAGGTGGGGTCCAGGTTTACAGTTGGTAACAAGCAAAGGGACAGCAGGTGTACCCCACCCAAGCAAGAGAGGCCAGAGGGAGAGAGAAGGCCTCTTGGCAGGTGTGGGTGTTTCTGCTTCCTTATTGCTAGCTCCCAGGAGGGCCACAAGTGACTGTTCAAAAAGGAATTGCAGAAGCAGGGATTTTGTTAGTAACGGCCTGTGAGCCCATGCAGTTACTGAAGAAGATTCAGGGTCATCGTAATACAGCCCTCCTTAGGAGGAGGGGAGAGACGCAGTCCTGGATGAGACGAGGCACTGGGTGTACGTAAAGCCACAGACAGGTCCAAGCAGGCACTTGATGGTGAGACAGGAGTGTTCAGGCCTACCTTTCTCTTTTCAACTGATGTTGAGATCATGCCCAAATCCCCAAGTTGCTTAGGGCTAGGAGAGGGGCCAGAAGCCCCAGGACCTAGCTCACCTTGAGAATATTACCGTTCTGGGGCATGTGTCTTTTTAAGGGTGGTCTAACACTCTTGTTATACCAAATAGGGTTCCTCATGAAGTGCTCTTCCTGAGGCTCCCAGCCTGCAGCACTGGTGGGAGGGAGGGAAAGGCCAAATCAGGCCTTGGCATATGAAATTGCACTTCTTAAAGAGAAACTTTATAGAAGGTCGGGTTGGTTTTTTTTTTTTTCCCCTAATCGCAAAAATCCTCCCACCCCACCCCCCGAAAGAGCCTAAGCTACATTCAGATCGAAGCCTCAAAATTACTTTAAATTGTTTACTTTATGATGTTTACACAACACGATTCACTTTTTTAAAAAATAAGAAAAACGCAAACTCTGGCTTTTTAACAACTTTTCCGATTTTTCATGCATGGGATATGCTGGCACCCTGACTCACCAGCCGCATTAAATCCTCATTTAGAAATGTCCCGATGTGTGTGTCTTTCCCGCCCCAGCCACAGGCTCCCTCCTGCCCAGACCTTTGTCTGTTTCTCTGGTGGCTTTTGCCTCCTGCTTTGCAGGCCGCCTGCAGCCATGACTTTGTTAGGGCATCTGTGAGCCAAAGACTGCGCCTTCGGAGCAGGAACAATAAGCAATACTAGACGACTTGCTACTTTCGGGGGAATTTTTTTTTTTTTTTTTTTTTTTTTTTAAGCTTCACTGATGACAACAGAGGAAGAAGGGAACTGGGGTTTAGGTAAGTTCTCCTCCACTGTGTGACCAGATTCTCAGTGACACACATTTGTGCAGATCGCTTGGAGAACAAGGTTGGTTTTCTTTTCTATTATGTAACACAAGGATCTGCAGACTTTTCCGTAGACGAAGAGAAGGTCTTGTGTATTTTTGTCCATACTCAGTGTTCTACAAACTAATTGTGCTGTTTTATACTGTGGCCACAAATATTATGCAATGCACCAATTGTTTTTGTTTTTTAATTTCATTAAAGGAAGTTTAATTTAAATTGAAGTGGTGTGAGGAAGTTGATAATTGGCTTCGTGGGCCTCTCCTCACCAGTAGGAGGGATCATGGCTAATTCTGGTTGTACTTCTGGCCTTCTGATTGCTTCAAGTCCTGTAAAAACACTGTCAGGCCAGGGAGGTGATCCAGTCGGTAGAGCCCTTGCCTGGCAAGCACAGGAACCTGACCACAATTGCCTGGGCCCATGTTTGGGTTTTTGTTGTTGTTGTTGTTGTTGTTGTGTGTGTGTTGGTGGGGGGGAGGTTAGGAGCTGGAGAAATGATCCGTGACCAACCAGTAGCTCACTGGTTGCTCCTGCAGAGGACCCCAGTTCAGTTCTTACTGTCCACATGGTGGCTTTTAACCATTGTTTCTCCAGTTCTAAGAAACCGGGGGCCCTCCTCGGACTTCTCTGGACACAAGGTGTACACGTGCTGCACTCACAGACCTGCAGGCGGAACACACAGAAAGCCGGGGCAGGCCGCGTGGCTTACACTAGAATTCCAGCACTAAGGCAGTGGTTTCCTACCCAGTGAGATACCCTGTCTCAAAAAAAAAGGAAAGCAAAAGGTGGACAACAGGAGTTGTTCTGTCCTCCACATGTACATGCGTACACACACATAGTCCATTGTAGATTTTGACCTACAGTGAAACAGCTTCATTCTGTAGGGCTCTTTAGAGGAGCAGAACTTAGAGGATGAATATATATACATATAGGATTTATTAGAATGACTTACAGGTTGTGGTCCAGCTAGTCCACCAATAGCTGTCTGTGAACAGAAGGTCTTAAGAATCTGGTAGTTGTTCAGTTCACAAGGCTGAATGTCTCAGCTGATCTTCAGTAAATGGTGGCATCCCAAAGGAGGGCGCTCTAATACCAGCGAAGGAATGGACTTGGCAGCACGGACTGGCTCCCTCCTCCCGTGTCCATTATGTAGGCTGCCACCTCGGAGGGTCCAGATTAAAACAGGGTCTTCCCATTTCAAATGATTTAATTATGAAAGCAATCCCTCACGGGTACTGCACCCAGATGCTTGGGTTTTAGTTAGTTCCAGACGTAGTCAAGTTGATAGCCAAGAGCAGCCATCACATCCATGATAAGGTCCCCAGCAAGCAGAAAGGTGGGGCTAGGATCCTGTTGCTCAGCGTCCTCTTGGTCCCTGCTGAATTCCCATGACCTTTAGAGGCCTCCTTTCAGGAAAGAGAAGTTGGAAACCATTCCTCTCTGCAGATGAGGAAACACACACCCAAGTTCTGTGACCAGACGGAGACCGGAACAGGTGGTTTTCCTGACTCACGCTGCAGTTTGGACTCTGGAAGACACCAGCCCCTGCAACATAAAAGCCACACTGTTCACCAGCAGACCTGGGCAGGAGCAGGTGCCAACAGCTTGTCATGCATTGTTCCAGCTCAGCAGGCACCTGCAGCCCACCCCCTGGACTGACGCTCCTCTTAGCCTTGCTTTGTATCCTGTATTTCCGCGTCCCATTTAGCAAGCACCTCATGTAAGTTATTCAGATGGAGTGTGTATCCCAGTCACTCGCATCCTGTAGTTAAATGATCGGCTGTCAAAACGGCCTGTCATTACATTCCCTCCAGTCCAAACACCCGTGCAGGCAGAGCCTGGCCTGAACAACCCTCTACTGTTCCTGAAATGGTGTCGTTCTCAATGTCAAAAGCAAAACAAACTTTCGCACACACCTACTATGTACTCAGACACTACTGAGGCTGGCCACCTGCCACAGGCCCGATCCTCGGCTTTTCCTTACCCCGGTTGCTGTAGAAATCTTTCTAACTGTCTAACTTGTACTTCCGCAGGCTCCAGGTACCCAGCCATTGGGTGGAAGAGGCTGCCTGACAGATGTTCTGGTAACCTGATAGAACCACAAGGATTGGGGCATCCGTCCCACTCTGGAATTCTGGGATGTGCCCTGCACAGTCACCACTTGTGGCGTGGTCACATCTTCAGGTGATCCCGAGGAGCCCCAGCACGGGCTCCTGAATGGCAGCCGCTCTGCCTCCTGTAACTACAGGCCAGTGTTCATGGGACTCTGGGTGTGGAAACACCTCCATGCCAGCATCGGCAGTCACTGAGAAGATAGCTGTACTCACAGATGACGTGCAGAGGACACATGTTTACACCACCTTGGAAGCCAAAGGGGATGACACCCACATCAGTGAGGAGAAGGGTGTAAAATGGGCAAGAGCCTATCATGTGTTAGCCCACAGAGGGGTCAAGCTTCTGGGGTGAGGTGCAACCATTTCAACCTATTTGGGGCACAGAGTCCACCCTACCTGCCTGGACCTAACTTTGATGTAAGGCAGGAGGAGGGTGATCCTGAGCACACAGAAGTGGGGTTTCCCTGAACTGGGTGGCATGTCTTTGCTATATCTGGGCAGCCTTGAGAGAAATCAGCAGAACATCAACTGTTAAGACCTCAAGCCTGAAAGGAAAGCAGCATGGTGAACACATGCTCAGTGTTCACATGGTGTGTGCTGTCAGCTGAGGCGCTGCTCACCAGAGTCCTCACTAGAGTCCTCACTAGAGTCCTCCCTAGTCTGCGTTCTCAGACCAGCAGCACTGGTTACCATGGTCACCATCCTTTGATGGTTGGTGAAGTGATGGAATGTCAGGGTCAGAGTGCTATCAAAGCATGTTGATAACACAGGATATCCATATGCAAGAGAATCAAGAAACATGGTCCCAAGTGGGTTAAAACCCAAATGTAAAATGAAAGCTAAAAAAAAAACCCAGGAGAAAGTGTGGGGAAAATGCTCATAACTTGGGATTTGATAATTATTTCTTGGGTATGACACCAAAAACATAAGTAGCAAAATCAAAAATAGGCGAGTAGAACCAAATCCCACTTTAAAATGTTCTTGTGAGCCAGCTGTGGTGGTACACACCTGTGATCCCAGTACTCAAAGAGGCAGAGGCAGGCAGATGTCTGAGGTTCATGGCCAGCCCGGTCTACAAAGGGAGTCCAGGAGAGCCAAGGCTACACCGAGAAACCCTGTCTCAGAACAACAAAAAAGTTATGTTCCTATGTCAAAACAAATTGACAGTGAAAAGGAGAAAATATTTACAGAGCATATATGTGAGACACAGGTTAATATCCAGACTCGGTAAGAAATTTGATTATAAAACAAAAACAAAAGAAGGGAAAGGATTCACATAGAAAACTCTGTAAAGAATACAAACAAGGTGCCCAGTGTCACTGCCCATAGAGACATGCAAGTCAAAACCACCAGATGTCATATTAGATTGAGCAATCTCAAGCAGAGGGTGCCTGGGGCTGTTCCTGTGTGAGAATGCAGGGAAGAGGCTGAGGGCCTGGCTCAGTGGGTAAGGGCACTTGCTGCTCTTGCAGAGGACCCACAGTTTCCAACACCCACACTGGGTGGCTCACAACTGCCTGTAACTCCAGCTCCAGGAGATCCAGTGCACTCTTCTGACCTCTAAGAGCACACACATGTGGCACACACACACACACACACACACACAATGTAAGTGAAAAATCTTAATGCAAGAAATGTTGGAATGAGCAGTGTCGGTGTAGAGGTAAAAGTACAGCCATTATGCAAGAGAATATGGAGGTTCTTCAAGAGATTAAAAATAGAGCCGCCAGATGATTTAGCAATCCCACTTCTGGGAATATGTCCTAAAGAAAATATGTTCTCAAAGCAGTGTCTCCAAGAGACACATATGTTCATTATATCCACAGTAGCCAAGAGGTAGAAGCAACTTAAATTTCCATCAGCAGATGAATGAGGAAACAAAATGTATGTACACCCTATGGAATATTGTTTAGCTTAAAAAAAAAAAAAAAAAAGGAAACCCTGGGCTGGGAGGGTTGCTTGGCTGGCAAAGTACTTATTTGCCATGCAAGCATGAGGTCCTGATCCCCAACACTCAACGTAGACGCCAGGCATGGCAGCACACACCTGAAGTCCCAGCACTGGGAAGGGAATGAGAAGAGGATCCCTGGGGCTTTCTGGCCAGCCAGGCCAGCTCCACTGTGACAGACTTGGCCTCAAAAAGTCCAGCAGAGCGTGATCAAGGAAGACTCTTTCTTGTGTGTGTTTCTTCTCACACAGGTAAAGCCTGCTCCCCTGACACGTACATCCCGATACAATACAAAGATAGGTGGATGGATGGATGGATGGATGACACATGGATGGATGGATGGGTGGATGGATGGATGGATGGATGGATGACACATGGATGGATAGCAGATAGATGATTGATTGTTTGATTAGATGATAGATATAGGTAGGTAGATCTCCTTGAGCATACCGAAACACGATTGAACCTTAGTGATGTTACACCAAGTGATAGAAGCTAGTCACAAGAACCATTGTATTGGCTTCCTCATATGGAGCATCCAAAGCAGTCAGAAGGCAGAGCACCAAAAGGTAGAAAGGAGCCGGGAGAGAAACCAGAGGATTCCAGCACTACCCGGTGAAAAGGTCGGAGATCTGCTGAGCAACAATTGTGGATCTGAACCGAAGCGAGCATCTCCCACCGTAGAGGCTGGTTAAGCATCATGCATGCCCCAGAATTCAGTGGCGGGCAAGACAGCTGCAGAAGAGTTAGGGGAGAAGGGCTCGGTGCTCCCGTTGCACCACAGATGTTATTAACTGACTTCTTTCATTTTAAAGGAAAGGCGTAAGTGGTCTTGCTTATGCAAGACAGTAGAGTCTAGACAAGTTGGGTGTGGTGGCATAATACCACCACAGTTCCTTGTAATCGTGGAGCTCCAGAGGCTGAGGCAGAAGTATTGCTCTGACTTAGTTCAAGGTCAGCCCTGCTACAGAGTGAGTTTGAGGCTGGCCTGGGCTATGTACCCCTAGTGTGGCTGTAAACTAGGGCAAAAACCTGGGTGCTCAGGGCTGGCAAGGTGGCTTAGCAGGTTAACAGCCCTTGCTGCCAAGCCCGACTACTGAATTCAGTTCACAGACCCCACCATGGAAGCAGCAAGCCTCCACATGTGCCTTATGTCACATGCTCCACACCAGCAGACACACAAACAGATCAAAACAATCTTGCTATGTTGTACGATGGATGCTTGAACTTTGCAAACTGAGCAAGCCACAACAAATGGGTGTTTGTCCCTAAGGGTGGCTTCCTGTCCCCACTCCTTCCTCCCTATTGAGGAACTGTTGGAGGCTTCTCTAAACAGTTTGTGCATCAAAGTTGCTTGTCACTCAGGAAGTTTATGAAGTCGCCCTTCCCTGGGGTGAGTTCTCTTAGCAAGAAACAGGCCTGAGAATCCCTGCTGCGCCTCCTTCCTTTCTCCTTCCGGAAGCTAAGTACATGTCCCTCTCTCCATCCCCTGTGCCCACCCTGCTTCTGTGCCAAGCCCTGGCCTTTGCCTTTGCTCACAGAAATTCAGTTCACACTTTTTCTCACATTGAAAACTCCTTCAGCCTTAGAAGCTTATTGATGGGGCCAGGGCAGTGAGCAATCAAAGCGATGGGGCTGGAAGCAAGGCCTGACAGCATTCTCCACTACAGGCCCAGGGTGCAGTAGGGCCACTGACAGCCTTGATTTCTTCCTGTGGTCAGAGAAAGTTTGACTGAGGTCGCTGTGGTCCCTTCTTGTGGAGGGAGTGACTTGTGTTCTGAACAGGTATCCATGGGCTTAAGGGAAGACTACAGGACTCCAGTGGAGAAGGAGTCACTGTGACAGTTAGCTTACCACTGACCCCTTAGGCTGTTCTTTCCAAGCCACTCACTATCCTACACCTGGCCTTCTATAGCAATGAAGATAGGTGTGTGGCATTGAGAAGGCAGTTGCCTTAGGGTTTCTTCTGTTGTGATGAAACAACACACCACGGTGACCAGACACAATCTGGGTAGGGAAGAGTTTATATCGGCTTACAACTCTCAGGTCGCACTCTGTAACTGAGCTATGTCAGGGCAGGAATCCCGAGGCAGGAACTGAGACGTTGGCCATAGAGGAGTGCTGCCTACTGACCTCTGGCCTGTTCAGACTGCTCTTTTAACTCAGACCACTAGTCCAGGAGTAGCCCTACCCACAGAAGGCAGGGCCTTCCCACATCAATCACCAATTAGGAAAAAAAAAAATGCACTATAGGCCTATCTAGTACAGCATTTTCTCAATGGAGGCTCCCTCTTCCAAAAGGACTCTAGCTTTTTTCACGTTGACATAAAACTAGCCAGCCCAGCAGCCGTAGAATCCAGTCACCCTGTGGGATTCCATAGATCAGCTTAGGACTTGGAGCTTCAGTTCACTTGCCTATACAGTGGGACGGCCAATGCCAGCCACAGTGCCACATTGGTCTATGAAGCTGCCCTGCACCTGGTAAGGAAGGGCCTCTGTTTGTTTCTGGGCTAGATGCGAATGATACATTCTGTTTTTGTGTCTCTGGGACTACTAGTGAGGTGTGTCCGCCTGAGGAAAAATAGATCTCTTTTTATCTGTCTCGCAGGAACTGGGACAGGTCTTTCTTCAGCATTCTAAGCTGTCCTGTTCTGTCCTGTCCATTCCCCTCCTAGCTCAGGGAGAGAGTACATCTTACACCCTTTCAACAGCTGCCATACAGTGAATCCCAAGGCAATGGAATTGCTTTTTGTCTCTGTCTCTTTCTCTTTTTTTCTGTCTCCTTTTTTTTTCCTTGACAACAGAAAAATTTTTTTTCTCTTTATTTTTTTTCTCTCTCTCTTGAAAAGAAGCAACTTCACCCTGTCAATGCTCAATTCTGGCAGAAATGGAGGCACTAAAATAGAAAGAGAAAAAATATTTTGGCAAGAGCCAGGAATCTGAAGTTGCACAGCACTTACTGGGTCATATGCATTTCAAGGCTGCAGAAACTCCTTGTTATTGGCACCATGGTTCATGCTTATTTCTAAGATAATTCTCTCTTCCCTGCTCATGACAGATGCACCAACACTCTAATTTTTAAATCTCCTCCTTTGCTGGGTCATTTTGCTGCTTTCTTCAACAAAGAGGCAGAGCCTGTTAACACATCTCTTACATTTGGATTTGGTCTTGTTCTATGGCATAATTCTTAGAGCAATGTTCTGCTCACTCCAGATAGGAAACCAACGACAGACCAAAGAAACAGTACAACCAAAGACCAACTAGTGACTCAGTGGGCTTACTGAGACTACTTACTTAATAAGTAAGGGGTTACTTACTGGTGCGGAGATGTTTCAAAGGCAGCTGTGTTACTAAAGCCCCACCCCAACATGGGCGGCACCTCGTGAAAACTACAAACCTG